TTTTTTGACTTTATTAAGTATCAATGTATATCTATAAATAATAAAATGAATATTATGTTTTCTTAATATATTAGTTATTCATGTGTTAAATGGTTTTTTTTTTTTTAGGAGAATTATGAACAAAAAGAATTAAATCCAGATATAACTAAAATTGAGCCTGAAGAAAATACAATAAATAAGTATGAAGAAGAAGATAATGCTATGGATCATTTGACTCCTGTTCAAAAAATTTATGCTTCAAATAGAGTAAGGAGTTATAAAATTTATTATTTTGGTTATGTATATTAAGTTTATCAAATCTGATATTTTTTTAATAAGTAATATTTAAGCAATTGATTGTTTACTTGTATAACTATTGCTTATCTATTAAGTCTTGTCAATATCAGTACTACCAAGTATCTAGTAGTTAAATTAGTTATTTTGTCATTGGAAAAATAGGTTCTTCCAAAAATATACTTGATTTTTTATTTTCATTCTAATTATTTAAAACTAGTATTTTGTCATAGGTTTAAATTAGTCTAGTTTCAATTACTGAAATAACTGAAAAAATATGTTAACGTTTTTAGGTGTCTTGTGAAATTAAGCTGTTATTTAAAACATCTTATTTGTTTTTTTAAGTGTAAAAAAAAATTATTTAATATAAATGTATATATTCTAATTTTTAGAAAAAAGCACATGAATCTCGAACAAGTTTAGAAAAATTTGCAAATAAAACTGATCTTGTGAGTATTAAATATTTAAAAAAAACTTAATTTTATATTATTGATCAAATCTTGGGTGTATAATTTTCTTTGTGGATAATAAAAAAAATTTTTGTTAAATTTTCCAGCCCTTATATAATCAACCTTCAGATGCAGATATTTATCATGAAAACCGTAGAAAGTAAGTGACTGTTTCATTAAAAATAAATTTTCAATAAAAATTTTATTTAACAAAAAAAACTGGTCTTATGTAATATGCGCTTCATATTTTTTTGATACTATCTTCAAAGTTTCATTTATTTACCAAGTATGATGGCCATTATTTTACATTAGATTAATCACTTGGCCCTCTATTATTTATTTTGAAGTGAATTTTTCGCCTAATAATTAAATTAAATTCATTTTTATTAATTATCCATTTTATTATTTTAGGTATGCAGTATTTAAATCACGATTATTAGAGCATTTAAGAAAGAAAAAAATGGAACAACAACAAAAGAAAACTGAAATTACTGAAACTTATTCTAAACTTTATAAAGAATGGATCCGTAGAGTAGAAAAAATTGAAAGTTCTCAAAAGAAAAAATCTAAAGAAGCTAAACACAGAGAACTATTTGAAAAAGTTTTCCCTGAGTTGAGGAAACAACGAGAAGATAAAGAGAGATTTAATAGAGTAGGAGCTCGAATTAAAAGTGAAGCAGATTTAGAAGAAATTATGGATGGGTTACAAGAACAAGAGGTAAATATTTAACAATATCACTTCTATGTCTATTTTATTATAAAGAATGTTCTAGTAAAGATAGTGCACTTTGTAGTCATTCTAAAAATTGGTAAAATCCAGAAAGTTATTCTGAATAAGTTTTATATGTTGTTATTAATTGCTGAATAAATTTTTTTACTGTCTAAGGGAGGTTGTTATTTTAAATGTGTGATACTGTCATAATAATTTATGATTTTTGACAATACACAGTTATTATTTGTAACATACTTCATTTTAAATGTTTGAAATTTATATTAGATGGAAGATAAAAAGATGAGATCATATGCTGTTATACCACCATTAATGTTGGAACCCAATGAACGTCATTTAACATACCTAAATAACAATGGACTTGTATTGGATTATAAAACAGAATATAATGAAAAGAAATATGTTAATATTTGGACACAACAAGAAAAAGATGTATTTAAAGATCGTTTTATTGCTCATCCTAAAAATTTTGGTGCGATTGCATCTTATTTGGATAAAAAATGCCCAGCGGATTGTGTTAAATATTACTATCTAAGTAAACCCAAAGAAGAATATAAAAGACTTCTACGTATGTTATATTGAATTTTTTAATATTAAGTATAAATTCATAATTTAATTATTATAATTCTACAAACTATTTCACCAATATTATTGTATTATAGTTTTTATGAAACAATTTTGTGCAAGAAGTTAAATTTAACTATGAAAATATTATTAACATTTATATATTTAAAAGCGACCTTTGAATTAATTACCTTTAATTTCTATTTGTATAGTGAAGGAAATTTCTTGCATCAAGTTACAGTTAATTTTAGTTTTATTTTTGAATTATGAATTACTATTAAAATATTTTTAAATGTTAAAAGAATTTTTTTTATACTAACAAACTGTATTTTATTGAAAAATTTGAATGAAATATAGGTAAAGCAAAATGGCAAGCTCGACGTCGTACTGCTCAAAGTAGAACTCCTGCTTCTAGCTCCTTAAATTCATTAGATATACTTAATTCAACATCAATTGGTGTAACTACAAGGCTTCAAAGGGAGCGTCAGGGAAGTGAAGCTGCATCCTCTAATGTAACTAATACATCTGTTGCTCAAAATCATTTGCCTGATGCTGAAGAAACTGCTACATCTATTAAAACTCCTATTGCTAATGAACAAGATTCTAACAGTGTAATTGATAATCAAATTGCACAAAATATCAAAGGGGAATTAAATGATAGTGTATCTAATCATACAAAGTCACCTGTGCCTTCTCATTCTAAGTAAGGTTTTATATATTAAGAAAACACAAAATTCAAAATGTTATATTTTTTTACTAATTAAGTTGATTTTTTCTAATTTATTGGAATTATTAGCAATTTATATACAGAGTAATCCACAAGATTTTGAAAAATCTAAACTTTTACTCTACTCAATATTTTACATTACTTTTAGCTTTGATACAAAGTTGAGAAGGTATAACTTTTACCATGGTGTGTTTATTTATTTATTGTTTTATGTCTGATACTACTTTTTCTCAGCTATTACTAAACTGATATTATTCGAAGACAAGTTGAAGACATTACTCTCTAAAATTAAAAAAATTTTGACTCGTAAATGAGGAAATTACAATTACAATTTATAAAATTGATAAATTTCGACATTATTAAAACTTACTGAGAATTGTTATAAAATAGATGAATCAAAACAATTTTTTTTCTATAAATATCTTAAGTTTTTCCTTTTCTTTAGAATTTTTTTTGAAAATCTGACCCTTACCCCTACTTACTTGGGAAATACAAAATTGCTACTTTTTTTATGAAAACTTAAGCTTTTTAATTTGAATTTTAAAAATGTTCCAGAAATACTTTAAGCATCAAACATAAGTTTATTTAAAGCTTGTTAACTTAATGTTTAAAAAAAAAAAAAATTGTGACACCTTATTACCATGTGCACATATCTGATGAAATTAAACTAAAAATGTTATTGTATAAATTATTACCATTTTGTTATAATTTTCTATTTCAATTTTTGTCTATATTTTAAATTTAGTCCTGTAGTAGGGAGGGGGTAAATACCACATCTAACCTTTTATTTACAAAAAAAAATTATAAAACTGATTTAAGTGTTTGTTATAAATATTTTCACGGAGAAAATTTTTGTAATTTAACAAATGTATTAAAAAGAAGTCTGCCCTTTCCAAAAAAAATGCTCTGGCTACCTATAGTTTATGATAAATTGACTAAGTATAAGGTGATTTATAGTATAGTGACAAAGAATAGCCACTTTTAACCACTTCGTTTTTCTTAAAATAATAAATTCATTTGAAATGTTAAGAAAATACTTTTTAGTTTCATATATTTCTTGATTATTATACTTTAAATTATTTTTTTTATTAATTATTATACTTAATAATTTATAAATTATTAAGTATTTCTTTTAATTCCTCTTTTATCCCTTTTAAAGTTATTAACTTAATTTTTTTTAATGATAACGTACATATTTAATTAGCTTATAAAATAAAAAATAATCTAATTAAGAAAATGACTGTTATCAACTTTTGATCCATTATTTCAAAATTATTTTAAAATATATATCGGTTTTATATTTTCTCTGTAAAATTAAATATCAATCAATTTCATATAAAATTTATCTACTATAATAAAAATTATTCATGTATTATACTTATGGATAATAAAATATCTAAAAATTAAACACTATCTACAAGTTTGCATCATAACATTTTTTTATGATGCTGTTTTTAATCACTATCAGATATTATAATATAATTGTCACGTCCCTACTATGTTGGTTTTTTCTTTTAAAATTTATGCATAAAAAATGAACATAAAAAATATGTCATTACAGATAAATTAAGAAAATATGTAATTAAAAGAAACCAAAAAAAATTGTTAATATTATTTGTATTTATGATTAATTAATTATAAGTAGTTCATCATAATCAAACACTCTGTATATATATCTCTTTTACATGACATTAAATAAGTTGATTAAATACTATATTCAGTTGTTGAATATTACCTATGAAATTCAATTAACATAATAACTAGCTAACAATAACATTATTAACCTCAATACAACAAAAATTTCCCATAAAAATAATAAATAACACCCGACCTGATAATGAAATATATTAATTTAACCATTTATTGGTAAGAATGTTGAGTTGGGTCACAAAAATCTAATTTTTAGTTTTTTCAATTTTTGCACTAACGTGAATAAAGAATACTTAATCTAGAAAAGTTTCATTTATTTAGCTTTTATAGTTCCTCAAAAGAGTCATTAATTTGTAATTAAATCATATGAATTACCTGAAACTGCACCTGCCTTTTTAACTCTGTCAGTAAAGCTTTGGTCCTTTGTATGTAGTTGGTGATATTTGATTCAGTGTTTTGAACTAAATAGGTTTTCCTATCTTTCTTAACACAAGCATAGATTTACAGAAAAGAAGTTTAAGTTAAACACAGTAATTTTGTCTTCTGTAAAAGTTTAAAATAATAATAAAAAAATTAATAGTATTTTCTCTTGACAGTGAAATAAAAGTTGAATCTAAGAAAAAAGAAAGACGAAAAGATGATAAACAAAAGGAAAATACCAGTACAACTGATGATGAATTAATGGATTCCAGGCGTAAGTAATAATATTTTTATGTTACTGTAAATCAAGGGTTGGATTAATAATTATTTTTAACTATATTATAACATTATCTTATTATTAAACTGTTAAATGATATTCAACATTTAAACATTATTGAATTTCTATGTTTATTGTATTTAATATTAAAACTATTCGATTTTTGTTTTGATGTTAAAAAAGTTCAAAATATAATTCTCTGCCCTGAGCATTTTTTTTATATGAAAAAAAGACTACTTCTTTCTTACATGAAATTGTTTTAATATTATATTTGAAAATAATTTATATTTGTTTTAATAAAAATTATTATGTGTATACTTTGTTTAACAACAATACCACATATTTTGGTTTTTTGATTGTTTTGACAATTTTTTTGTTTCAAACATAATTATAACATTTTTTTTCTTTCTGATGTAAATTGAAATTCTATAATAATAATAATATGACTGCTATAAGTCTAAAATCCTGGAAAATTTGTAATCAAAATAATTATAATTACAATGGTTGGTGTTATACTTGGAAAATCACTCTTGAATTTCTTCCTTTGGACAAAGGGGCTTGAAATAGAGGTGTATTTTGAGTCGATTCCCGCTTATTTCCAAAATACTAATTAATAAACAAGTATTAATAAAAATAACATTGGGGGTTGAAGAACTAAACATACTTTTCATATATATATGAAGAATGAAATTCCATACTGGACCCTCTAGGTCAAGTATACAATTTTTTTTAATTGGCTGAAAAATAATGGATTTTAACTATTATTTATTATTTAGTACTGTAACAAATTTCGTGATTAACATATTTTATAGTATATTAATTATTTATTTAACAAAAATATGAATTTCATTTTTATGATATTAATTATTTCAATCAATATATTTCAATAATTGGGTTTCTTTTATTCAGATGAAAATGGAAATAAAGTAGATGTTCCAAAAGGAATATGTGCTGTTTGTAAAGCAGAGAATGTAGCATGTCCTAGAACTTTAAATCCTTCAGATGCATCCCAGTATGGTGTTAAACCTGAAGATATCAAACCTGGGTCAAGAGTTTGCAATACATGTCGATGTAAAGTTGTACGATCACAAAATCGCCGTGTTATTTATTGTCCTTTACCATCTTGTCCGACTGTTCAATCGAATACAAGAAGACCTGTTAAAAGATTACGTCCTCTACCAGCTAAATGGAGTACTGCTCAAGATATAATCGCCTCTGAATTTCGTAATAATTCTACATAGTATATAGTATAATTAATTATATCTTATAAATTTCATGTATTTTGTAGAAATTAGCCAAAGTACCACAAAATGTTGCTCTGCTTGTTTTAATCGCATTCAAAGACGTTTAATGGCACTTGGTGTTGTTGGAACCACAAATAATATTAATACTGATTCTCTTGATGGATGGACTGATGAAGAAACCAATGCGTTAAAAAAAGGAATACGGGAACATGGAACACGTTGGAGTGAAATTAGCAAATTAGTTGGCCCAAATAAAAGTCATTATCATTGCAAAGAGTTTTACTTCAGTTTCAGAAAGAAGTTAGGCTTAGACCTATTAGTTCAAGAATACAAAAAAGTAATTCTTAATTGAAAAATAATTTTATTTTTGCCCTTTAAACTATAGTAACACCTCCTTTCAACAGCCTTTATTAGACATAAATCTCTTTTTTAAACAAACAATTCTATGGTCTTTATTGTTTTTATAGTTTAAAATTAACTTTTATTAAACAAAAACCTACCCTCCTCTTTTTATTGAAGGGATATTCCACTGTAATTAATTATTTTTTTTATTATTAGGCAAATGGAAGTGAACAAAAACCAGCTTTAACAGATGAAGAAGAATCAGGTTCAAGTACTTCAAGCTGTGATGAAACAAATCTTGTATTGTGTGATAGTGACACCCAGAGTGCACCGTCACCAACTAATACTTTACCTCAATCTTCTCCCAACCGAGAAACAAATAGTCCAAGTCAAATTAAGTTAACCTCTAAAGAAACACAAAATGATACCGAGTTAAACAATCGTTCTCTTGTTGGAAAAGAAGATTATGATAGTTCTGCTACAGAGACAGCTGATGAAGGAACTGGGGGAACTGCTGAAAATGAATCAAGCGTTTTACAGCATAATTCCATTAATGAATTAGAAAAAAAAGATAAAAATGTAACTGACATCAGTGTTTCTGATATACTTTCTGATGTAATAGAAAAACAATTTACAAAAGAACATGTATCTAATCGTGAAGTAAGTGTTATATTTTCTTAGTTTTAGTTCATTTTTCTTACTTTTTTAATGTAATTTCAAATTTAGAAAGAAAATGGATCTATGCCAACTATATCATCTATTCTTTTGGATCCAGAATATCCTATCAAAGATCGTAATACAGGATCTAATAATATTGAAATTAAACAATCAATGGCCACAATATCAGTTGTTCCATCACCTAGAGAACATCATCATAATAAAGATAGCTTAGTTGTTTTACAAGTTCAGTCTTCCAAAGCCCCTGATATAAGAGTGCCTGAAGGTGTAACTCTTGACTTAAGTATTAAAAAGTCAAGAGAAGAAGATTCTTATGCTGATCCACTTCCAATTAAACATGCACAACCACCACCTCCTCCAGGCACCATGTATAGACCACCACCTACTCAGATACATGAAACTAACAATTTTTATTCCCCTCAGGTAATTTTGTTATAACTTCAAAGATTTTTTTTAATAACTAACTACTAATTATATAAAAATCATCGTAGTATGCTGAATTGGGAAGAAGTGGAAAGCAAGGTGAAATATATTGGACAAAAATATCACCATCCAACAATCATGTAATGGTACACCCATCACAGTCAGTTCCTCATGTAACTGTAAAACAAACATCTCAAATTAAATTGCCTAATAAGGTTTTAAATTCATCTAAATTTTTTTTTTTTTGTATAATAAATAAATTTATTTTATATTTTATTTTAATACATTTTAGGTAACATCTCCACAGCTTACTATTGCCAATGTTGTATCATCAAAATTATCCCCTAATATGTTGAATAGTTCAAAAACAAGTGGATCTATTATGCATGGTACTCCTGTTTCTGCTGCAACTTTGTATATTCCTCCACAATCTAACCGTTATTCTCAATCTTCCCAATCATCTGGAGGTTCTATTACTCAAGGAACTCCAGTTCATCAACGTATGTTGCATAACTCCAGTCAAAATATCAATCCAGATTATTATCAAAAACGCAGTTCCCAATATCAATCAAGACAACCACATTTTAGTGAACAAAGACAAATTATTATGAATGACTATATAACATCACAACAAATGCATTCAAATGTAACAGCTCAGTTTCCTCGAGCTCAAAAGCCTCCTGTTACGAGTTCATTGTACTATCAACCAACACGTCAAGGAGTTATACAGCGACATAATACTGCACCAAAAGTAACATCTCCTCAAAGTTATCCACCTGGACACGAAGCATTAGGATCTCTTGTTGATGTAGCAATTAGACAACCTAGTCTACCGGTACCTTTAACTCATTCAGATGATAGGCATAGAGAGCCAGAACGTTTTGTAAGAGGATCTCCAGTTCCAAAAATATATAGAGAACAACGTCATGAGCAAATACAACGTGAACGAGAAATAGTTGCTCAAAGGGAACGTGAAATGCAAGCAGTTGCTCAAATTCGAGAACAGCAACAAAGAGAACAGTATTTACGAGAAAAACAAATGATGCATCATAGACTAACACCAGAACAACATTCAAGAATGGTAGCTTCTTTTCAACAACAGCAGCGACAGCAGGAACCTAGAGAACAACCTAGAGTCATGCAAATACCATCTACTGTATCTTCTTTTCAACAATCTAGATCAAATACACCAGTTTCTAGAAATCAAGAACCTCCTTCCAATATACAAAAGTAAGTTTACATAATAAACTTGCTTATATATTAATTTAAAAGCATGTTTTTCTTTATAAAATGCCAATATGATAATGAAATGATTTCTCATGTTTTCAATGTCTTAAATTAGAAATTATAGTTTTTGATTTGTACAGTTTTTATCAAACATCAAATAAGCCAACAATAATTTAGGCATTGGTTTAGATACCAAGACAAAAAAATTATTTTTTTAATATTTGTGGAAAATATAAGTTAAATACAAGTCCTAATTATATGATGAAAAAATTTACTAAAATTCTAATTAAAATATAATCAGGTAAACCTAAAGATGCTTGTTATAAAAATAAAATTTAGAAAAACATTTTTCTATTTAAAAATTTTAATTTTTGTGACTTAGTAGTTTTTCCATGTCGTCGCCTCAATTGAAATAATAAATTACACATTTAAAAAAAAAAAAAAAAAAAAAAGGATAATATTGGATTACACCTTCTTTTATTCAAATATTCTAAGTATCAGAATTATTTTGTTTATCTTACAAAATTATATTAATGCTTATTACCATGCTGGTTTTTTACTTGTTTTTGGTAATAGTCTTATATTTAAATTATATCTATTTTTCTTTTTTTACTATTTCCAAATTATATAATCTCGTAACTTAATTGTTTTTTCTATACATAATTATTTTATTTAGTTAACAAAATGAAAGAAAGAATAGTTGGTATTATAATCTAAATATTAAACTTTTAATCATTTGTCAATAGTTATTATATTACCATTTCTTAAATGAAATTGAATATTTTTTTTAAGTAGAGATAATGGTGCTGCTAGTGGTAGATTATCAAGACAAGGTATGGAACATGCGTTGACTGCAGCTAATCTAATTGATGCTATTATTACACATCAAATTAATCAGAGTAATGATGGAACTGGCCATCCTTCAAATGCTGTACCTACAAGTAATCATACACATATACAACAGCCAAGAGCTGGTGATAAACTATTTCAAGTATGTTTGTATTTTTTTAGTAATTAGACTAAGAATTTTTTACTATCTTACTGTTTGATGATTTTTTTGTACTATAATTGAACAAATTTTTTATGAACAAGCATTATTATTTTTTTTTTGATCTGAAAGAAAAATATAAGTGATTAACAAATTAAACAATACTGATTCAAAGTTAAATCTGTATTATGCATTCTTTTAGATATACATCATATATGCATATTTTTTTCTTATCTAACTTTTGTGTTAACTAAAAATATTAAAATAAAAAAAAAATTATATTTACAAGAATTCTTATAGATAATTTATTTCCTCTTTCCTATAGACTTACAAGACTAAACTTTATATTATATTCTAAAATTTAAAAAGTTCCATATAATTTATACAAAATACTTTTATAATTTTGTTTGAAAGACTTTTTAGATTTTAGTAATGGTTATGAACTATATTGAAAGCTGGAATTAAAATGTTGATTAATAGTTTTTTATAAATACAGATTGTTATATAATATGTGTGTTTTTCAGGCATTTCCTGAGGCAAATGAAAAATCAGCTGTTAAGACTAGATCTAGTCCCGAGATAACCAACCGCCAAGGTGAACCATACCAATCAGAACATAATTTTAAAGAATATCCATCTTATATGTTAGCTACGGGGTTTGAACCTCATACATGGAAACTGCGCCGTGCTCTTCAGCAAAAAGAATGTGAACAACAGTTAAAAGATGATAATAATCGTGTACGTTTTTATCCAACTCAAGCAGACATACCATTGTCACCACTTGATTATGTTAAAAATAGAATAGCTGAAGTAATGCGTACATCTGATGATGACAACAAAAATGAACAAGCATATACCTATCCATTTTCAGCTGCCATCAATATGTCTTCATCTAGTGTTACCAAAAATAATGAGACATCGGATACAAATATTGGTGGCGGTAGTGGAAATAGTGGCTCATTACTGTCCAACCAGTATGAACCAATGTCAGATGAAGACTAATATCTCTTCCACAAAACAGGGTATGATTATGTTTTAACAAGATTTTTATAAATAAAAATCTAGTCTTTAATATTAAAAAATAATTTTTACTCAAATTTGTTCTTTTGTGAGAATTAAACTATAATTTATGTATGAAAATCATTAGTATTTTACCTATATAAATAAATAAGGTAATAAATCATTATAACCACAGTTTAAATAAAAAAAGTTGTCACTGTACTTCTTATTATTACTCAAAAATTATTTTTTTACAAAATTTTATGCCTTAAATTAGTTATTAAAGTTATTTAGATAATTATTTTGTTGACAATTCTATTTTGAGTAATAAAAACATAAGATTCAATAAAAAAAAATAACAATTGGATTTTGAATGTATGCATATAATTACATTAAACATTAGAGAATAATGACTACAGTATTATAAATTTGTAAATTGTTTCACCATCTACAGTATGTATACACGCGTGTTTTGTGTGAGTGTGTATTGATCTATTTTAATATAATTTTTTAATAATATAAATATTGATTTCTTAAATATGAACACAATAATTTTGCTTTATTAATTTTATTTTAAAATATGTTTACAAAATTATTTTTAAAGATAAATATTATAAATATTTCAGTAGAATTTGCACTTGTAAGTTCTTAAGCAGCAGTGTAATTTTATGTACATATTATTCCTAAATTTTTGAAATTATACTTATATAAATATTATTTTTCATTAACGTAATGCATTCCAATAAAAAAAAAATACAATTTTTTGATATAACAGAATATTTTATATATTTTGCTTATTTTATTAAGAAATATTAATTTTATTAAAAAAAACTGTGTAGGAGCAATTTTAACTTAAACATTTTTTTTATAGCTATGGGTTTAACATATTAAATTTTCAAAAAATGTACAGTGACTAAAGTTTTTTGATGTATAATTAACAAACTTATATTTTGCATTATAGTTTCAATAATATTACCTGACTGTCAGAATTATTCAAATGATATTGTGGTATTTCTTTTTAACTTCAGTGAATCTACCCATTTGTGTCTAATATGTAAAGTATAATGTATGATATATATTGTTATAATTATTATTATTAAATAATAAATGAGTATGTTTAAGATGTAAATTCCCTCCAATATTTGTTTGTAAGCATGTATATATAAGATTAATAAATATATTACTTTTGTAATAATTTTATTTATTTTTTAATATATTCTTTTTTATTGTTGGACATTAGTATTTAATGGTAATTGTATAAAAATTGCAATATTTTTAGTCTTGTATTAACAATATTTGTACCGTGTAAATTTATTAATTATGTAAATTTAAGGACATTTTAAATTTAAATACCTAACAGTTGTGATAAATATATTGACCTATTTGTAGGTATTTGTTATCCGAATAAATAATAAATGTGATGCAACGTATCATTCTTGTTTTTATTCGTATTTGTTGAGAATTTGAGAAATGTACTAATTATTATGATTTACTTAAATATTATTAGCATAGTAGGCCAAAACTCAAAATTTATATTTAAATATTAAAAATGTTAATGAATAACTATAACTTAATATGTGAAAAATTATTGTTTTTACTAAATATGAGTTGCTTAAACGTAACAGATAACAGAATTTTAAAATAGAAATTTAACTACAAATATTTATAAAGAATAATTTTTTAAATAGAATATAATTTATGTGTTTCTTAAAGTATTTGTTATTTGTGCTCTTCTGTGTGACTAATTTAAAAAATGTAATGATTTTAAAAACTTCAAAGTTGAAAGTGTATAATTTATTTAGAATGATAAAATAAATTATACAAATGTGTTTCCACCAGTAGTCTTTCTTTTAGGAAAAATTAATGTTTGTCAATATTCATTATTTTTAGTAGAGTTCAAGGATATATTTTAGAGTATCGATATGGTACCGAATTTCAGGGTTATTATATAAATATCGAAAAAAAAATTATTTTAATGTTTTCAACAATACCGTTTAGTTACAATTTATATTAATCAGGCTATAGTATACCAACCAAATCGGATAACAATTTACAAAAAACCCAGCACGGTGGGGACGTGGCAAAGTTGGGTCAAGTATAATGATATCTGACAGTTGAAATAACTACTATAAAAAACGCTTCGATGTAAATTTATAGATAGTGTTTAATCTTATAAAATTGGTGGATTATTCTAAAGGCTACATGATCTATTTCCTTATTTATACCCTGATTACAAATTTTATGATTTATATGTGTAGTATATAAATAAATGAATATATATAATATAAAGGGAAATAGTTTTATTTAAAAAAAAGTATGTTGAATGAAAAAGATATATAAATAGTATTTATCATAAAAAAATTGTATTGATCCATATATTTTTCAAAAAGTATAGCATTATAAAATTAAAAAAATAAAAAAGAATTTTTTAGTAAATTTGGTGTCCGTTTTCACCATGTAAACAAAATAAAGTCAGAAATTTTCTTTTCCATAATAAAATATATTACATAAGCTTTAATTTAAGATATATATAAAAGTGTCAGTATTTCCAGAATACTTTCAATAGTTAAGTTGAAATAGTTGTGAGTTTAAATCCCCCCCCTGTGAGTAGGTAAAGGGTCAAATTTATATAAATAATATATCTAAAGATAGGTAAAGACATCATGCATCTATAAATTAAAATTATATTAATTTGGTCATTTTTCAAAAAGTTATGGCAGTTTTAAGTAAAAAAAAATGGAAAAATTAGCGATTTTTAAATTTATAATTTTTTTTTTGGAAATTTCCCCTGATTACGGAGAACAATTTAATTTTTTTCAATTTTTGAGGGTAATGTCTTCGACTAGATACGATTTATGATATTTTGACGTATCGTTGAAAGAAATCGCTTTGGTGAGAGCTAAGAAAAAGTGATTACAGGCTCAAAATAAAAAATAAAAAAACACGTCATAGTAAAATTAATACCTTCTCAGCTTCGCATCGAAGCTAAAATAACGTTATGACACTATCGCTACCATTAAAATATTGATGCTTACTATTTATTTAAAATAAAACCTATGATTTTTTTCCCCAAACATAGTTTAAGTGCATAATTTTAGAAATTTAATGCATATTCCAAAATTTTTTCAACACCTAATTTTAGTGCGTGTATTCAGGGCAGGGTGACCGGCCTCCTTACGTATCTGCATGTCTTTTTTTATAGTTAAATAATAAAATCTTAACTAGAACTTAACTTAAATCCTAAGTTAAGATGGATTCCTCATTTCCAGTTCTTTTGTATCGTTGCTGCCCTGAAGTAATGCCTAACGGCAGTTCACAATAATGCCTGGAGTGTAAAAAACAAGTTCCTTTGTATCGCGCTGGTCTAATTTCCTTCGCTATATTATTAGGACAACGTAAGATCCCATCCCTCCCCTTTTTATTAATTTTTAAGTCTATTATTCGCGCAAAGATTGACTACGGTTCCTCTCTATTCTCTAATGCATCCTTATGCCATCGTAATAGCACAGACTATATGTCTTATGTCTGTATATATTTTCATATAGTCTGTGGTAATAGGCTTCATTTATTAACGGCTTCGTGCTTACGATCAATTTTAGGGACCCTTCCACCATCCCCTGTCACAAGCCTTGAATTTGAATCCGTTCGCCAACTCATGCGATATGTCCCCAAATCTCTTTCTTCAGATTTCAAAATTCTTTCAAATCTTCTTCTCTATTTTCTTTACTTTTATTTATCAAATTCAAAAGTCCTATAGTTGTCTACTCATTTATGACTGCCCCTACAAGGCTTTAATCCTCACCCCTACTATTCATGTTGTATCTAATTTCCTAAGTTTCTCGTTTTTTAACTTTTCTTTGCCCTTTATTAATAATTTATTCTTATTACACTAGTATTATTTTGACTGTACCGCCTCCACACTAGCTGTTGGCGATAACGGCACTAAAATGATACCATAGAATAATAATTAAATAAACAAAACACTGTATTTTGTTTCCTTTTTATATCGTAATATATATATATTAATATTTATATTAAAACACAAAATAGTATTAAAAATAAAAAAGGAAAATGATACTGGAAGCTGAGCTCCTTGTAACATCACACAATTTATTTTGAGCTGAAAGTAACAACAATTGATCGCATTGGATTTCGTATCACCGGCATACAAGAAAACTTTTGATTGAAAACTGAATTGTTTCATAAAAACAAAATACTGCACGTGGGTTATGTTGAGCAAACATATTCCAACAAAACAAAAAAATCGAACCTAACAACTATAATGCACATTGTACATGAACAACACTGGCGGGACGCTATCTGAACTGATAACTCCGTAACATAACCACCCGTTACCAAGGTAGCTACTCTGGTACTAACAGACGGTTTCTTTGGCGTGTGCTCGAACACCTATAAGCTTTCATTTAATTTTTACTGATGGGTCACCATAGCAATCAAAACAGGTTGTGCTTATTACATACCAAGTCTTGATATCTCTATACCCATTAACCTGTATCCCCCTTTTTCACTTTCATTAATGAATATATTGCCATTGTTAATGCACTACTCTACATATCCGTTTCTCAAGATACCGCTTTTCTTATATCCTCAAATTCGCCAGGATGTCGTTTGGCTATAAATACAAATTCTATTGATTCTCTTACTTCCTCTATAATTCTTTCAATTATCCTTTAAGCTACTAGACATTTTAACCTCTGGTAATGATGTTCAATTCTATCGGGATCTTTTATAACGAGTTTTGGCTAAGAACGCATCATCTTTTCTACGTAAATTCTTTATTTAACATAAATTATAAAAAAAACTACATTAATTTCTATATATATATCACTTCCTAAATTTTGAGAAAGCATGTGAAAATGAATATCAAATTTTAATGAAAACGCAAAAATTTGTGTATGATAAATTTTGTTTTTATTAAGATTTTTAACTATTTATATATATATATATATATATAATATACACACACATATTTATATAATATGTGTATGTGTATTTGTACAAAAATGTATTATATTTAATTAAATTTTTTACAATTAATCTTTTTTTTAAATAATAAACAGTTTGAAAATGTATTAATTTGTAAATAAATGACACAAAAAGTAAAAAAAAAATTAATTATAAGAAACAGTTATTAACATCATTTATAAAATGATATAAATAAATTATAAATTAGAACAAAATAAAAAAATTTAATATTAGCTAACTGTAACCTAACTGCTTTAATAATCTTAAAAGAATAAACTTCAGCAGCCTGCAGCAGTCTTATATACAAGATTCTTTAGGGTATTATAACATCTTAAAGTTCATCTTTTTCAGCATCACCGGCTGGTGGGGGAGGTGGTGCACCACCAGTACTAGCATACAGTTTCGATATTATTGGGTTTACAACACTTTCTAATTCAGTTTTTTGTTGTTTATATTGCTCAGGATCAGCATCTTGATTTTCATCAAGCCATTTGATTGCGGCATCAATGACTTCTTCCATTTTAGTTTTTTCTTCATCAGATAACTAAAATAAAACAATAATTTACAATTCTTGGTATATTTATTATAAATTACAAATAAAAATAATAGTTATACTTACTTTGCCTCCTAATTTTTCTTTATCTCCAATTTGATTCTTTAATGAATATGCATAAGATTCAAGTTCATTTCTAGATTCAACTCGTTCCTTTAATTTCTTGTCATCATCAGCAAATTTCTCCGCATCTTTTATCATACGTTCTATATCATCAGGAGTTAGCCTGTTTTGGTCGTTGGTGATAACAATTTTTTCTCGATTACCAGTTCCTTTGTCTTCTGCACTAACTTGCAAGATACCATTAGCATCAATCTCAAAAGTAACTTCAATTTGTGGTACCCCACGAGGTGCTGGTGGAATGCCGGTTAAATCGAATTTCCCAAGTAAATGGTTGTCCTTAGTCATTGGTCTTTCTCCTTCAAATACTTGAATTGTAACAGTATTTTGATTATCAGCAGCAGTTGAAAAAATTTGACTCTTTTTGGTTGGAATAACAGTATTACGAGGGATTAACTTAGTCATTACACCACCGACAGTTTCAATACCCATTGTGAGTGGATTAACATCCAAAAGGATGATAGCATCAGTATCTTGCTCACCAGATAAAACTCCAGCTTGTACAGCAGCACCATAAGCAACGGCTTCATCTGGGTTGATACCTCTAGATGGTTCTTTTCCATTAAAATATTCTTTTACTAATTGTTGGACTTTTGGTATTCTTGTACTGCCTCCTACTAGTACGATTTCATCAATATCTTTTTTATTCATGTCTGCATCTTCCAATACTTTTTGCACTGGTTTCATTGTAGATCTGAACAAATCCATGTTCAATTCTTCAAATTTAGCTCTTGTAAGGGGCTCAGAAAAATCATGCCCTTCAAAAAAGCTTTCAATTTCAATACGCACTTGATGGCTAGCAGATAAACCACGTTTAGCCTTTTCAACTTCACGTCTTAATTTTTGTACAGCTCTTTTATCTTTTGTAATATCTTTGCCGTGTTTCTTTTTGTATAATTTACAGAAGTGATCCATAACTCTTTGATCAAAATCTTCCCCTCCCAAGTGAGTATCACCATTTGTAGAGACTACCTCAAATACACCATTGTCAATTGTCAATAATGATACATCAAAAGTACCACCACCCAAATCAAACACAAGTACATTCTTTTCGCCTTCTTTTTTATCCAAACCATAAGCAATAGCAGCAGCTGTAGGTTCATTTATAATTCGCATAACAGTTAAACCAGCAATAGCTCCAGCGTCTTTGGTAGCTTGACGTTGACCATCATTGAAATATGCTGGAACAGTAACAACAGCATGTGTCACAGTTTTTCCTAAGTATGCTTCAGCTGTTTCTTTCATTTTTCCTAATACCATAGCAGAAATTTCTTCTGGTGTAAATACTTTAGAAGTGCCCTTAGTAGTCTCAACTTGAATATGAGGCTTAGAATTTTTATCTATGACCTAAAATTGTTTTTATATTTAATCTATAAAAGTGAATAAATTATTTTATAAAAATTAAATAATTACCTTAAATGGGAAGAACTTAACATCATGCTGGACATTTTTGTCAGACCAGTCACGTCCAATTAGACGCTTAGCATCAAATACTGTGTTTTCAGGATTTGTTGTAAGTTGATTTTTCGCAGCATCACCAATAAGACGTTCACCTTCTGCTGTGAAAGCAACATATGATGGAGTGATTCGGTTACCCTGGTCATTAGCAATAATTTCAACACGTCCATTTTTATAAACACCAACACTAAAAAATTAATATTAAATTTAGTTATTATTTACAATGATAAGAAATAAAAATTAAATATAACTATTATATGATGCATTAAAAGTCCTATAATATACTTAATGATCAAAAATTTGTGTTACAAAAATGGTGAGGAAGTTTAAGTTTCATATAGAATTTCCACAATTTCTTTAACACAAATATCTGATTACATGGTATATTAAATAGTAAAAAACTAAATTTTTCTTATATATATCACAGAATAAAACCTTACTTATGTTACTGCTTATAACAGTAGCAGTTATGTTTTTATAAAGGTGAAAATAAAAAATCATAAGATAATAGAGTTGGAGAGCCTATTACCAAAAAATATTTAGGAATATTAGGCAGGAGGTTCTAAATACACCTAATCCTTGCCTTTATTATTAGTTTCTTTTTGCTATTATTTCTTACCTTCTCAGAATAACAGCTCAACTGTACAGTAACAACAGTAGTAAGTTTTGTATTAACTTCAATGAAGAAAATAGTTTAAGATACACTTGGAGAAAAAAAATTGTGCTATGATTTTATTATTAACAGATACCAGTTACAGGTAACCGAAAAAAAAAGACAACTAATTTTAAGTGGTTAACAATTATTATTTTTTCTTTAATATTCTAAAAAAATTGTTAATTGACAACCATTTTTTATATAACTAATAACCTTATACTCATTAAATAAAATCAGTTTTTACTAGATTAACTCTTTATTTTGTAACAATTTAAAAACCTGTTTTTTTATGTTATCTACAAAATGTAGATTAAAGTTGAATTAAAGAGTGAAAATTGTATTAAATTAAAATTGTTTATAAAATATGTTTTTAATTACCCTACTAATTTTGTACAAATATTTAATTTTGATTATATTTACATAAATATTTAGATTATATTTTTTTTACTGAAAGTACATCTAGTACATACAATATTTAAATTATTTTGTTTATATAAGCCATGTCAAAAGTTATACACAATTTTAAGAAAAAATATCCTGTTACTATAATCTCTTTATAAAATGACACAATATTTTGAATAAATTTACTTTTAAGACTTACTTCAGTCTGGAACAATATATTATTTGTCCTTATAATCATTATATGGAAAAGTAAAACAATAAAAATATATATCAAATAAAATTTCCAGCTGTTAAAAAGGGATTAAGCCGAAAAATAAACTTTTTAACTAATGTTGGACACATAAACTTGACTTGATTAAGCTTATTAAGTTTGAACGAACATTAAAATTTTAAGTTTAATTAAAATTAACAATAAAGCTGACAATAAAACCATTTTGATGTTATTTTATTAGGTATGTGAGACTGTAGTAATGATATTTTAAATATAGTATAAGATAGCAATAATTATATTAAACAAAATTTCAACAAAATGATTATTGGATCTTTAGTTGTCTATTAGATCTGGTTTATCTGAATTACAATAATACTTTTAAAATAATACATAAAATATTAAAATAATATATAAATATTAAATAACTTTTAAAATAGAATAACTCGATAGGCATATCTAAATAATATGATTTAAATTTATGCTCATTTTTAAACCTGAAATGTTAACATCGAAGCATATTTTTAAAGAAAATTATATTGATTTTTTTTATTAATTGAACTTAAAATTTTGGTTAACTAAGGTTAACCTTAGGTAAAATATAATTGATTTTACATCAATAGCAAAACCTATCTATTTTACATTCATATACAAAATTAAATGATAATTTACCATGAATATGTTGTACCCAAATCAATTCCAATAACAGTTCCAAGTTCCTCTTTAGATTTACTTGCATCTTTAGCTAAAATAGGTAATACTAGAAATGAGAATACCCAAATCATGCACAAATATTTATTCCAATCCATGTTAAAAGTTCTGGAACAGAAAATTACAACAATAATTTTAAAATTATATTAATATAAATAATGAAATTTCATAGTATAAACTTTAATAACTCTTATAGCTTTATTGATATTTTGTCATATACTAAACAAATAACACTACTTACATAATAATTATTTGGAAACCAATAAATTAAACTTAAATTTATTAACTACTTTAAGCTTTAAAATATATTACCCGAAACACTACGAAATTTATTTTAATCATAAATACCAAGATACGAGAAATTAGAAATACTAAAACTGATGAATTGATGTCTGCGTTGCATATCTATATACAGTTATACGGACATGTGGGCTAACGTCATTGGCTGACTCTACATCACTTGTCTTCCTACTATTGGTCCACGTTCGATGACGGAAAATGTTAAAAATTCAATAATTTTACATAACCTCAATTTTTTCTATACTCTTTGAATACCAAATTAAATTAATATAACATAATTATGGTATATGATTTTTCTTATCAAAATTATGGATATTATAGTGTTATATCTCTGATAATAATCATATTTTTTGCCCTTGACTACAAAATACTAATCAATTAAGTGCATTCGGTTGATTTTTTTAATTCCAAGGTGAAATTAAATTTTTTAGCACTAAACTCGTTCTGAGAGTTAAAATTATTTGTAAATATCTATTCCTAATTCAAAATAAATATTATGACATTTTCGGTTTCATTTAGCTCACCTTTTGCCTTCAAAGTAATTATAGTATTTCGCCCCTTTTTTAAATAAAATTTCTGTATATGATTGTTTTTTTAGGAATGTGTCAAAATTGTGAAAAGGTCGTTTTCCTCAACACGCGTGTTAGCTAACAAACAGGTCAGTGAGTAAGCTTTTATAAAAAAATAATTTTTAATGTTTTTATTTTAACATATATTAAAATAACTTCTAAAAAGAATTTACTTTTGTTTGTATATTCTAAATCACAAGAAAAATGAAGGCTATTGCATCATTTCAACTTAGAAACTATTCTGCAAATCATAGCCTTTATATTTTTAAATAAAGTTTTCAAACTAGTAAATTTACAAATAAATTTTAGTGTCAATGTGAAGATATTAATTTTACTGTGATGTGTGCGTATTTTTTTAGCTTAAAAATGTATCTTTATTTTGTAGCAGGATTCTAACATCAATACTCTTCAAATAAATAAACAATAAAATGAAATTTAGAATTCTTCTATATTATACATTCAATTTTTATAATTCTCTCCTTAAAAGTCAATTACTTAGCCTTAATTCTCTAGAACCTATAATATACCAATAAAGTGCTATAATATCTCATATTAAACTATTAAAAACAAAAATTTGTAATCTTTAATAGGTAGACTGGCTATTATCATAAAAGTCTATGTTGAATAAGTATTTTATTGTTATTGCATGAATGAATGAATGAATGTGTATTGATTTTTTTTTAATTATTACTATGAACAATAGATTTACAAATACAAATTGATAAATCATCAAATATTTTGTTTTGTAGATGACTGTTCGAGATGCATTAAATTCGGCTATGGATGATGAAATGGAACGAGATGAGAGAGTTTTTATTCTTGGAGAAGAAGTAGCTATGTATGATGGAGCTTATAAAGTATCTAGAGGGTTATGGAAAAAGTATGGTGACAAGCGTGTAATTGATACACCTATAACAGAAATTGGATTTGCTGGAATTGCTGTTGGTGCAGCTATGGTAAATATTAAAATTTGTACTAAAAAAGACAAGATTGATGAATCAAAAATATATATTGGTTTATTGAATTAATTAATAATTTCTGAAGTCTCTCTTACTTTTCATGCTTTAAAATATAATGATAGATGTTCATAACCCTATCAAACTCTTAGTAAATTTCTGTTTAATCATATTTGTTTATTTATTTTTTAAATTTGCATCCATAAATTTGAAGTTAAAGCAATGATTTCAACAAAAAGTGCTGAATAATGTAACCAACATAATTAAATTAATTTTTTTCTAATATTTAATAGTTCCAAGTTTATAGTTAAAAATTGATTTTGAATTAGTTTAATGAAAAATGAATAGTCTGGTCTGAAAGAGTTAGGTTATTAATTTGCAGTTTTTAAATTGTGTACAAAATATATTTATCTTTAATTTTCAGTACTTATTTTGTTGTATAATAACTTGTATATTTATTATTATTATTTATGTATATTTATTATTAACTTTATTTTAAGAAAGTTTTTGTTAAAATTAATAATTAATTAATGAGACCCAAAAATTATAAAAGAATGTAATTGTTTTTGGTATGCTAGTTTTAAAAATTTTATCATGTAAGTTTTCCTACTCTCTCTAATACAAACATAGCTTTTAAGAAAATATTTTAAATATAAAAAGAACATTAATAATAATAATAATTGATGCCTTTATCTCTTAGTTTTTCTATTAAGTTATTTTATGAAGCATCTATATAGTTTTTCAAAATTTACTTCCTAATTAATTTTATTATGTATTAAATAAAAACAAGATGCTAATTAATGTATATTAATTATTTTCAAATAATAGATTGTATAATAGAACATTTATGTTTTATTATTTATCCCATTTATTTTTAGGCTGGATTGAGACCCATTTGTGAATTCATGACTTTTAATTTTTCAATGCAAGCTATTGATCAAGTTATTAATTCTGCAGCAAAAACATTTTATATGTCAGCTGGAACGGTATGTTTTATGTTATTTATAACAATTAACTCATTTTGTTTCTATACACCTGTATGGAAACACATAACACATTTTATAAATTTTATCCTATTACAATGATTTTTGAATTGATACTATAAAAGTAGTTTTTACAGATTTATACTAGAGATTATCTTGGTATTTCATTGAACCATTTTAGTTTTCCTATTTTAAGCTTCAAATTTTAGATAAAAAGAGATTTGCGGAAAGAAATATAATTTGATTTCTTAACAAATATGGGATATGCAATTTATAAAACTCATTTTTATTTATTTATTAAATATTTATTTTATTTTATTATATTAATAATATTATATATATTATCTTTTTAAATTTAAATTGTACTTTATAATTTATTTATTTTGTATTGATCAATTACTATATAATGGTAGGTGAATGTACCAATTGTTTTTAGAGGACCAAATGGAGCTGCAGCTGGTGTGGCTGCTCAACATTCTCAATGTTTTGGTGCGTGGTATAGTCAATGCCCAGGTTTAAAAGTAAAATAATATTTATTTATTTCATTTAGATTTTTATATTATAGTTTTTGTCAAATGATAAGTGCATAGATTTTATTATTATACATTACTATTATATTGATAATTAGTTATTAATATTTTAACATTTAGGTAATATCTCCTTATAATTCAGAAGATGCCAGGGGCTTATTAAAAGCTGCTATTAGAGACCCTGATCCTGTTGTCTTCCTAGAAAATGAATTATTATATGGAAATCAATATCCTATTACTGATGAAGTTTTAGACAAAAACTTTATTTTACCTATTGGAAAAGCAAAAATTGAAAAAAATGGTATTGTATAATGTTTATATCTTAATAGTGTAACCTATTAGGACAGCCTATTAAATAAATTCTTATCAAAAAAAAAAAGAATTTTTTAAGATTGGCTAATTTTAATTATTTATTTATTTTTATAATCTCCTCTTAAGAAGACGTCAAAGTTCAATTTTTCATTTCAATGCGTTTTTAAAGAATATAAATCATAGAGAACTGAGTGGTTTTATAGTAAATGTCGAATTGAACACACAGCAAACCCTTTACTATTTTTAACCACTTGTATTTTTAAATATAAACATTTTATTTAAAATTTCTCGTGAAGGGTTCTAATTAATGTATTTATGTATAATTTGACAGTTCATTATGTAGATACAACTACCAGTCTTCAAGAGTCAAGAGTTTTTTAATATTTATAAAAAATGTTTGTCCTATTGTGATGCAACTCAATAGTTTCCTATTAGTCGATTGCTATAATAAACACTATTGAACTGAAATGTTAACAATATTTTTATATTCAAATTGTTTTTACTTTGACATCCTCTTAAATAAAAATAATTATTTCTATAAGTAGTTGTATAGCATGTTAAAGTATACAGTTCAGTATTTGATAAATACTGTTGATATATCTTAGTTCTTTTTATAAAGAAGTTTTAATAGCAGTGCATTTTGTAATGACCCATTATGAGTAGATGAAAGGTAGAATTTTATTGAACTCCTTCCATACATAATCATTATTTTGTAAAAAAAAAATATACTAACTAGTATAATGTCAGAGCTTTAAAAATATTAGTAATCTTTTGTGCTAAAAAGGTACTTAATTTAATTTGTGAATAAATAGAGAATTTATATAAGATAATAATTATTGTCAAATGTTTTATCTTTTAACTAGTATCTGTTATTTACACTAATTAATTTTTTTTATAGTATTTTCAACTTAAGCAGTTATAATTCCTGAATGAAATTTTTTGTCAAAAATGTCAGGTATTTGCTATGAAATTTTATATGAGTGTTACTGGTATACTTTAAATAATTTTTTTCTTTTATTTGATTATGATCAAATAAAATATTTGGTTATATCCCTTGCTGTCTTATAATTAGTTGAAATATTTTCTTGAAAATGTATATCAAATTTAAGGATAAGAATTCTTCATGGATATTTTTTGAGTTGTTAATTTTGTTCTGATTATTCTCATTTTTAATCATTGTAATATAATATTTAGGTTATTAATACTGTTATTAATCAACTATTAATGAAGATATACATAATATATTGTATTAATGTTTTTTATTTTATAAAGGTGATCATATAACTCTTGTTGCACATTCAAAAGGAGTTGAACTAGCTTTAGAAGCAGCAAAAGAATTATCTTCTGTTGGAATTGAAGCTGAAATTATTAATTTAAGGTCATTACGACCTCTGGATATAGAAACTATTGTAAAATCTGTAGTAAAAACTAATCATATTTTGTCAGTTGAGCAAGGATGGCCCTATGCTGGTATAGGATCTGAGATATCAGCTCGTATTATGGAAAGTATGTTAATATAATTAGAAATATTAATGTCATAGTATATTTTATTCATTTTTCAGGTGAAGCATTTTATTACTTAGATGCTCCTGTTATTAGAGTAACAGGTGCAGATGTACCCATGCCATATGCAAAATCTCTAGAAACTATTGCATTACCTCAATCCAATGATATTGTAGAAGCAGCTAAGAAAGTTCTTGGAATGTAAACTGACTACAAAAAATTACAAACAACATTTAGGTGCAATTCACTACTTTCCTTATATTTGTCTTTATAAAAGTAGATCCCAACATGTGTAACTGTTAAATTATAATGAATGTTAATCATTTTTTGTTATAACTAAATGTTAAAATAAACTTTAGTATGAACCTAATAGTGCATATTTTTTTTGATGATACTTATTGTTGTTATTGGTATTGTCAAAAGTGTAAATATATATTACAAGGTATCCTGAACAGAATTAAAGTAACATTTAAAATTAACATCTAGAACTAAAAATGTAATGACCATTCTTTTGAATGCATTAAAGGTTACTATAGATTTCAAAAATCTGTAAGTATAGAGCTATTTATTCTTAATTTTTTAAGCAACCATGTTGAAAATATAATAATTTTCTAATTTTAAATTAAATTATAAGTGCCCCATATACAATTATGTTTAATAATTAATTAATCAAACAATGTAACACAAGCAAATAAAATTGTATTAATAATTATAAACTGGATTTATTTTAGTTATTAAAATATATAAAAGCATAGAATGAAATGAAATCAATAGAAAATTTTATTTTTATCATTACACATTTCTCATCTGTGCTTCTTCTATGATGCAGTTTTTAAAATATATATAATTCCTAAAATATTGGTCCAAGATGTTATCAACTAGTTAATTTATTAATTAGTCCATTTTGAAACATTTAAGATAATTAAATATGTATATTATCACTAAAAAAAAATTTATATACTTGTAGGTGATATAGGGTGGATTTAAAAGTATTTTGTCATTTATGAATCAAGAAATAAAAAATAATAAATTAAGCCAAAAAAATGGTCAACATTAAATCAATCATCTGTATATATAGGGAATTATAAAAATTAATTTAAAAGAATTTTGTGTCGCCTGTTATTTGTTAATTTTTTATTGAGCATAAAATATATCAAATACATAATTGAAAAAATCATTTACCATATAAAATAATTTATTATTGATCATTTAGAAATTTATTTTAAAGAATTACAAATGAATAATCAGTAATAACTGAATACATCCCTAGTTAGATTATTTTAATCTCGCTGTGCAATTTGAGTAAGGTGGCGATCAATTTCTTGTTCACTTAAAACTCTATAACAGAAAAAAATTATTTTTATTATGTAGGAGACATAAATAAATTTCAAAAGTTCAGCATAATATTGATAGATCCAGTGTAATGACCAGCTATTATCACTAGAAATTGTTCAGAAAATACAAAAAAAACTAAATCATTTTAGTATTAAACTCTATAATATTAGATTTCTATTGGATGGATGTGTTTAGTGATTAGATTGGAAAATTAAAAGAATAATTCTCTAAAAAAAAAAAATTAAAGATAACTGGGTATTACACTGGACTCATTAAATATATGATATAAATGATTTTTTTATTCAACTAAATTAATTATTAGTATTTTTATTGCATGACAATAAACACTACTATAAAACATAACTACAATTTTTTTGCTTCTGTCAACCGAATACTAATGGAAGGAATGATATTTGTCATTAAGTTGATTTTTTTTTTTTAACTCTGTAACCAATATAAAGAGAGTTTGGTTTTCAATATTTAAATAATTTTTACTTATTTATATGTATTTAGAACTCATTGTATCCTCGTTCATCTATTTGTTATGTTTTACTTTGTTTAATGTCATGTTTTATTTACATTGATCGTAAAATTAGTAATGAATAAATAATTATAGTTATAATTATTATAACATATAAAATTTATTATAATTGTAATATAAATTAACTTACTCAAAAATTTTATTTTTAGTAGACACTATGCCAACTTCTATATCGTTTGGTTTGAAATCAACTGCTAATACATGGGAGAGGCAAGATATAGCAAGCTAAACCAAAATTATTACAAATGTTAAATAATTTTTCACTAAATAACTAATGTAAATAATGTCATATTTCTAAAAAGTTTTTTGGTTAACAGTGCCAGCATTAAATTTTATAAGGCCCCTGTTTTAGGAGAGATATACCCTTTTAAAAATTACATAATGAAGATAAATTTTTTTTTTTTTTGTTTTGATATCATAGTTTTACTTATGAATACTACCTCTTTAAGCAAAATTTTAAATACAGCAATATTATATGGAAGGCCCACTTCCTCTGTCCTTTCACTGGCACAGATGTTAGGAAACTAAGGAACCAGAAAGTTTATTTTATTGTATTCTTTTAGTTATCTATTTTATATCATTGCACAAGGTTGTATTAGGAAATTAATTATAAGGACACAAAAAAATAAAATGAATAAGCTGCCATGGAAATTCTTGATGATCATTTTAGCTTCGATGCGAAGCTGAGAAGGTATTGGTTTTACTATGACGTGTTTTTTTATTTTTTATTTTGAGCCTGTTATCACTTTTTCTTAGCTCTCACCAAAGCGATTTCTTTCAACGATACGTCAAAATATCATAAATCGTATATCTAGACGAAGACATTACCCTCAAAAATTGAAAAAATTTCCCTCGTTCCCCGTACATGGGGGCAACCTCCAAAAAAATTACAATTTTAATAATCGCTAATTTTCGAAATTTTAAAAATTTTTTTTACTAAAATCTGCTGTAACTTTTTCAAAAATGAACATATCAATATAATTTTTTTTTTATATAGATGCTTGATGTCTTTACTTATCATTTGGTATATTTTTGTTGTAAATCTGATCCTTTATCTGCCCACAGGGGGGGATTTAAAATGACAACTTTTTCAACTTAACTTTTGAAAATGTTCCGGAAGGTCTGACACTTTTATATATATCTTATATTAAAGCTAATGTAATATACTTTAATTTGAAAAAAAAAGATTTGACCTCTGGACTTGTCTTTGTGGTGAAAATGGCTACCGAATGCTATTATTGTGTGAAAATTCTCAATTTTATTTTTTTCATTTTTAACTTTATAATACTATAACATATTGAAAAGTGTATGGTTCAACACAATTTTTTATGAGAAATAATATTTTTTAATAATTCCTTTTCCATTCGACATACATTATCTTAATCAGGATAATAATAAGGAACTAGCAGATTATGTAGCTTTTGGAATAATCCACCAATTTTTTAAAATTAAACACTATCAAAAGATTTGCATCGAAACGTTTTTTTTTTTTATAGTCATTTTAATCACTGTTAGATATCATTATACTTGATCCAACTATGCCACGTCACCACTGTGCCGCGACCCCCCTGTGCTGGGTTTTTTTTATGTTTATTATTATTTTTAAATTAGGAAAAACTACAAATAGAAATTTCAACATTTTATTGTAATATAGCTTCATCAATGTGAATTCATCATCTGGGAAGGGTGATAGGGAATCATCCAGAAAGAGAGTAGGTGTGATACAGGAACTGTGAAAGAAACTTGTATAAAAATTTATTTAAATATTTAGAGTATCTCTAGCCTACAATTATTAGCTGATAAATGGTTCATATATAGGTTTATACCTAAACCTAACCCAGCTAACTACTATGAAGCAAATTCCTACAGACCACTATGTCTCACTTGACTTCTTCTTAAGACTATGGAAAAATTTATAGGTACATAAAAGTATGGCACTTTGACTGGACTACTGAAAGGATATGATCATCTACTTTAACATCTTTACATAATGGCAGTAACAGAATCACCACTGTGCAGTAAGTTTGGAACAGAAGCGGAAAATTCATTTTACGTTATGTATAAAGTTGCCACTTAAGCCACATTAAGATATAATTACACAAGAAAATCTTTGCCAAAAAAGAAGATATCAAAAACCTAAAACCCAAAAAGGTACTAAATTCACCAGAGAGACAAAACTCTTTGAACATATATAAGTAACCTAGTAGGATGTCCTATACACACACACATATATATATATATATATATATATATATATATATATATATATATAAATTGTTAGACAAACAAATAATGACAATACTTTGGTGGAAACATATGCAAAGAAGAGAAATACAGTTCTTGCCTACCTTTTGAACAAATAAAACTAAATCTAAACTAACCTCAATAGCTTCATCTTGATTATAATTTTTCTTTTTCTTCAATTTTTTTTCCAAATAAGTATTAGCTTCTGTTTGTTTAGTACCTACAGATATTGCATGAAATGAACAATAATATCCTGCTGGATCAGTTTTAAACACCATTGGCCCTTTTCTATCATCAATACCAATAAGTATCATACCTGTAAAAACATGTATTGTAATATGAAATATATTAATAAAAAGTATAATTCATGCACAGCTCTTTAAAACTGAAATAACTTGTTTTATTTTTGAAAATTTTAAAACTAGAATTTATGAAGACATTTTTGTATACATCAAACTTAAGATAGTTTACATTACCCTAACAACAATACATATCTACAAAATTACAATTTTACAGAAGAGCCAAAAAATAAACAATATATTGTACATAAAACTATGATATTTATATTCATAAAGGAAAGGTAGGTAAACAAAAAGTGTTGTATAATAATAAAAAACACAAATAAATAATAATTAATTTGAAATCACAAAAAATAATAGTTACAAAATTTTAGATATGTATTATTGCTATTAAGATAGTGATATAAGTAAAATAAAAAAGGTTTTTTAATGGTTATAATTTTTGATAAAAACTCTTAGATTTATTACACTAAATAAATTATAAAAATTTTTAATTACTGCATCCAAGAGGTCGCATTTCAGCATTTTGTGTGTAAACTTGAGATATATCAGCCATTCGACTACATAAAGTTTCTACTGGCATTTCAAATCCATTTTTGTATTTAAATTCACAAGCTTCTGCTCTAGCTCTAAATACTTGAGAATGGCCATCAGCTATAAAAAAAAAAAATAAAAATTGTATACTTTTCCTAAAAAATTATGATTTTTAAATAAACTCCTAATAATTAAAAAAAAAAATACTACTTCAAAGTGTGTATATTTTATGACAATTTATAAATACATATTGTTTTAGCTTTGATGCGAAGCTGAAAAGGTATTAATTTTACTATTATGTGTTTTTTATTTATTTATTTTTTTTTGTGTCTGTACCACTTTTTTTCAGCTCTCACCAAACTGATTTTTTTCAACGATACGTCAAAAGATCACAAATCGTATCTAGTCAAAGATATTACCCTAAAAAATTGAAAAAATTCTCCTCGTTCCCCGTACATGGGGGAAACCTCCAAAAAAATTACAATTTTAATAATTGCTAATTTTAGACAATTTTTCAATTTTTTTTACTTAAACTGTTATAATTTTTTCAAAAATGAACAAATCAATATAATTTTTTTTTTTTAAAGATGCTTGATATCTTTACCTATCATTTGGTATATTTTTTTTATAAATTTAACCCTCTACCTGCCCACAGGGGGGATTTAAAATGACAACATTTTCACAAAAAATTAAAAGATGTGTTCTGGAAATACTGACACTTTTATATATACCTTAAATTAAAGCTTATGTAATATACTTTATTATAATAAAAAAAAATTTCGGACTTTATTTTGTCTTCATAGTGAAAATGGCTATATTTTACATTTTTTAACATTATGTTATATCCCTTTTATATCAAGGGGGGTCAAAACCTAAAACATGCGTATTGCAACTAGGATATTTTCAATTTAACTTTTGAAAATGTTCCAGAAATATTGACACTTTTATATATATCTTAAATTCAAATTCATGTAATATACTTTAATTTAAAAAACCCAGCACAAGGCAATCAATACAATTTTTTCATGAGGAATACTATTTATATATCTCTTTCATTTGACATACTTTTTTAGCTTCAATGCAGAGCTGACAGGGTATTTTTTTGTGACTATCATTTATTTTATTTGCTCTAACTTGACCTACTTTTTTCAACGATACGTCAAATGATTACAATTTGTATCTAGTTGAAGATATAATCCTCAAAAATTGAAAAAAAATTCTAATTTATCAATTAAAAAGTTATTTAGTTCACATTCTCCATATAGGCAATTAAAATCATTAATGTTTAATGTTTTTAAAGTATATATTTTCGAATTATGTATTATATGATAGTATGGACCAACTATAAAAGAAATAATTTTACTTTGTTTTTTTATTAATTTCTTGACTATGATATACTAACAATCAATAATATTCAAAATTATTTGGTAAAATGTTACCGTTTAAATAATTTTTGGTTACCTCATTTTATAATTGATTTTTACAATTGTAATCAATTTTTGTAATACATTCAACTGATTAGATTTTTTTTTATATGTAAATACTCATTTTTTACTAGTTAGTAATAATATCAAAAATTTGAAGTAATAGAAAAAGTCTAATTTCCAATTTGAAAACAGTGCGAAAAGTTGATTTAGAAAAGTATAACATTTCAGTTTTTTTTTTTGTGCGAGATTTCAAGTAGGCCATTTTGAAATAGATATACCTACTTAATTAAATTATTCTTCTTTTAATTTTTCCATACATTATGAATGACAATCAACATAAGTAGTAAATATAAATTGTAATAATACTTACTATTTTAATAACCTCCGGTACGAATATCATCAATAGTACAGTATGATATATTTATTGTTTACTTAATTAATTGTTACCAAAATATTTGTTTATTGACCCATGTAACCATGATAATACAATGTTTTTGAAATTTGAATTGTTGTATAAAAAATTGGTGCATTATTTTTGCAGGCCAATTGGGACTGTTTATAAAGTAAGGGGCGTGGTTGCCCACCCTGACCCACCCTGTCTCTATAGTCCAGTGTATTTATTCATAAGCAAAAAACAGTTTTTTTATTAGTCAGTAATAACATCAAAAATTAAAAGTGATAGGAAAAATCTAATTTCAGATTTGAAAACAGCACAAAAAGTCGAAAAAGAAAAGTATATTTTTGTTTCTGATGAAAGTTCCTAGTAGTCCACGAAATAAAACTTATATAATTGTTATAAATAACAAACATTTTTTATTGAAAAGTTTGCATCAAGCCCTTTAAATTTTTAACCCAACGCGTTAAAAGAAAAGAAATATACAATTACATTATTATTTTTATAATATCTCCATAAAAATTACAATATTAAATTATTGAATATCAATTTCATACTAAGTTTAATTACTATAATTATTATTTATTCATATATTATAATTATAAATTAAATAACTAATCGGGATATAATTAAGGGAATAAGAGTTATTGTTGCTTTTGAAATAATCTACCATTTTCTCTAAATGAAACACTATCTACAGATTTGCATTGAAGCGTTTCTTATGATAGTGATTTTAATCACTGTCAGATATCATCTATACTTGTCCCATCTATGCCTCGTCCAAACTGTGCTATCGTTTTTTTTTTGAAATAAAACCATTTTTTTTTTTTGTATTATAAATATATATAAAAATTACAATATCAATTTCATACTATATTTAATTGCTTTAATAGATATTTAATCATATATTATACTTATAAATCACAGAACTACTAATTAGGAATAATGAAGGAAATAGGACTTAATTTTGCTTTTAGAATAATCTACCAGTTTTTTAAAATTAAACACTATCTACAAATTGGTATCGAAGTGTTTCTTATGATAGTGATTTTAATCACTGTCAAATATCATCTACACTTGTTCCAACTATGCTACATCCACACTATGCTAACATTTTTTTATTTTTTAATTAATTAAGTGTCTGGCAGTTATAAATAAATTACCCTGTATTACCCAATACAAAATATATTTAAATTAATAATACATTAATGTGAATACACACCTGTCATTCCAGTCATAACACATCCAATGCTTTTAGTTATACTGAATAAGTGAGTAACTGTTTTTGGATCAATTAGTTTATCCTAAACAAATAATTTATATCAGGAATAAATTTACACACAAATTTCTACTATTAGTTAACTATAAATATAACAATGGTCATTAATGATTTAATGGTTTACATTATATCTATTCACCCAAAGGTGCAACTAGCTATTTATTTATAAAGGATATAATATTTAATGAAAGATATTAATTAAACTTATACATTAATTTGCTCTTTGATGGGAAGCTGAGAAGGGATTAATTTTAGTATAATGTGTTTTTTTTTGTCTGCCACCTTTTTTCTTAGCTCACACCAAAACAATTTTTTTCAGCATTACGTCAAAATATCACAAATTGTATCTAGTTGATTACCATGTCCTTAAAAATAGAAAAAATTTCCCTTGTTTCCTATAAAGGGAGAAAATTCCCAAAAAAATGATAAATTTAAGAATTTCTAATTTTTGATATTTATTAAATTTTTTTTTCTTAAAATTTCCATAACTTATAGAAAAATAAACGAATCAAAATAATTCTTCTTTATATTGAAACCATAGATATTTCCCTTTATTTAATATAATTTTTTTTAAAATCTGAATCTTGATCTGCCCATAAGGGGAATTTAAAAAAGCAACTTCTGCAAAAAAATTAAACTTTTTCAACTTAAGTATTGGAAATGTTCCAGAAATACTCAGAGTTTCAAATATATGTTAAAATAAAGCATATGTTACGTACTATAAGTTAAAAAAAAAAATTTTCCCAACGATTTATCTTCTATGTAAAAATAGCTGCCATAGTGAAAAAAATAATATTTGTGTTAAAATTTTCATTTTTCAATTTTATATTTTCAACTTGAAATTGCTATAATTTTTTGAAAAATGTATGGCTCAATACAATTTTTTTTTCATAAATACTTTATATATACCTCTTTCATTTGACATACTTTTTTTTTTAATCGGACAATATCACCAGAGGACGTTCAAAACTTGAAAAATAAGTATAAAAAGTAGAACACTTTAAACTGAATCTAAAATGTTCCGGAAATACAGTGTCCTTTATATATATATTAAATTAAAGCATATGTTAAGTATTGTAAGTAAAAAATAAAATTTGTCCAAACAACTTGTCTTCTATGTGAAAATGGCCACCGATTTTCTCAATTTCTTAAAATTAAATGTTACAGATTTGCATCAAAGCATTTCTTATGATAGTGATTTTAATCACTGTCAGTTATCATCTATAATTGTACCAATTATACCACAACCCAACTGTGCTACCGTTTTTTTAATTTATTTAGTTAAAAATATTTTTGTACAAAGAAATTTTACTCACTAATAGTTGAAAACTAAACATTTTATAATTTATAACAATAAATTCAAAATATGGTACAATACAAATGATTTTATAAGCCCTGACTTTTAAGTTTTTATTTATAGTACTCTTAAAAACTATAAGGAAATCAATTTTTACATTTTATAATATTATTAAAAAACTTTATTATTATATAATTCTATTATAGCTGTTCCAAATATAGACAGTCAATACCTTCAGGCTGTGTATAATTTGTAATTTTTTTTCATAACTTTAAATTTCTCATAAAAATTTCATTTTTTTCGTACTATTATACTAAAGTCTATCAACTACAATTACTGAACACTAACTTAACTTATTAAAAAATCAAATCAAAGTTACTTATAAAGTTATATGTTAATTTAAATGTTAAACTTACTTAACTTCCAACATTTTAACATGTTTCCAATGTTTTTAACATTGGAAAAGAGTAAAACAAAACATTTTATAAAATAATAACTAGATATATAATAAAACCGTGCTGTATAATAAATTTAAAATTTAAATACATTTTATTATGAATAGTCAAAATTTCTTTTGTCAATTAATCAAATTTTGACCAGTCAACTAATATTGTACCAACTCTGGATGAAATAATAGGGTATAAGCTCTGTGAAAACAACCAATGGCATACATGCCTAAAGTAATTTAGGATATTTAAATAATGTGCATAGAAATTGTTTGAAATAAATATTAAATTAAATAATTTATAACTTAATTTATTGATAAAATAAACTATGAAAATTGCTTAAGAATATTTCAGGAAACCATATAAAAATAACTTATATATTAAAAAAAAAAATCTTCAATTAAATCATTATCCACTAAAATATTTTACTGGCATAATTAACACTGTGAATAAAGAAAAATGATAATAAAGAAATGGTAAAAATGTAGAATGAACAATTATTTTATACCATTTCCACTATTCCATGTATCCATACATTTTGAATAAATCTTTAAAAGAAAGCATGTTAATCAGAAGATAGTAGTACTGAATCTCCTTGAATTCCTTTGACTTGAGCCTCTGGTTACAAATTATAAATGCCATTAAGATAAAATATTTTTGTGAATTTTTTTGAGAATTTGTCTTTTGACAGAAATTTTAATAACCCAAAATAAAGAAATCTCTTTGAAATAAAGTCTTAAATTATAACCATTAATAAATAAAACTAAAATAACTTACAGGTACTTTCCTTTGAGTTGCAATCACTGCTACATCTACTCCTTTAATAGCAACAGATGTTAACCCTCCTTGTAAAATTGCTTTGATTGCATACTCTAAATATTAGTTATAATTAATTTATTAGTAATAATTTAATAATATATACATATATTCCACAATAATGTATAACTTACCAACTTGATACAATCTTCCTTCGGGAGAAAATATAGTTATATGACGATCAAACCCCGCACTAGTACCGCGAGACATTTTTTATTATTAAAAACTATATAAAAAAAACAATAAATTTATCAAAATTTGATATAGCAATTACAAATTTTAGAAAGAACAAAATTAGTATTCAGAAAAACGAATATTTGATTTGTCATTACTTATTCGAAATGTTTTTCAAAACAACATAACCTCATTCATTGGCTACGATTAATAGATAAACGAAATAACATGATAAGACAAATTTAGATATTTTATGGCCTAGAGAACAAGGTACTCCGCTTATTGAAACGAATACATTTCAGATGTTGTCCGCAAAAGCGCCGTATTCGATATTTGAGGATCGGTATTTTATGATAAAATATTTATCAGTACAAGAATATTGGTAAAAATAGTTTCTGATAGAAATGTGGATTATCATAAAACTTATTTTTCATGACTGATATAATGTAGGGATGGTAAAAATATGGAAAATATGAATTAAGTATATTTTTTTTGTTCTGGCTAGTGATTGCAACTTGTTATCAATCTTAATAACTGTTATAACTAGTTAGTTATAATTAGTTATTTATATTGAATAACAGTGATATAAATGTTTTATATATTAATAAAATAAAATAAATATTTAGTTTATAAATGACTAACATTAAATATTTAAAAGCAATTTAACGTAAATTACTCATAATAATTGGCTAAATGGATGATAGAATTAACTGATATGACTCTTCGCTGTTTCACAAATAAAAGAAGAAAAAAAATTATATGGTAACTAATTAAAAAGGGCGACCAATTCATTGACAATTTTCTTTTCAATAGTCACATATTTGATAAATTTAATACTGACACCAAATAGTAAGAGCAAAAAATTCAAATAAAAGGCAAGTTGACAAGCAAACTAGCAACATGGTATTGGTAAGCGTTAAGAACGATTTTATCGCTGTGGTCCCTTATAATTATACAGACTTATTGAAGCACCATTGTCAGTTTGTTGGGTAAAATAAGAGCCTTCTATCATACCATTTGGCCGCCGAGTTACGTTTCCTTGTGCAGTATATTCACTGTACTATATATTTATGACGTATTAATTTTATTCACCTGAATATTTGAATTTGTCGCTCTTAGTATTTAGCTCAATTGATTTCAGTATTTATTTTCTCAAATATTTGTCCATTGAATTCAAAATAATCAATGAATTTGTCGCTAATTTGTTGTTTAGTTTTCAATTTATTGTTCTAAAATATTTGTGACCTGGTATGACTATTTTTATCATTATCATCTTGGCCGCGATGTAACTTGGTCCATAGTTGCATGTGGTTACTGCTGTATCACAACGGGCTTTATATGATCCTTATACAAAATACTAAGAAAAAAATTTGATGATAAAAATAATATAATAATGATATAAATTGTATAAAATACATTGTCATATACCTTTTAATGAATAATTGATTCATTTACCACCAGTATACTTAGCTATAATGCTATTGTAATTTTCAACACAATTATTATTTACTAAGTATATCAAACTATTACTATGGTGCGCTATAAGATTTTTTGCTGCCATTATATCTAACCAAAGACTAAACATGATCATTTCAGAGATTTCATTTATTTTTCCGGTTTTACACCAGTACAAAAGTAATTTAAATAAATATAGTTTAAAAAAACACGCTTTTAAAGCAAATCGAAATAAAAAGTTAAAAATAATTTTTAAAATAAGCTTAAAACAATAATGAACGAAAAATACTAGTATTATTGTGATAAAATCGTCGGGCCCTCAATATACGAAAAATATGGCACAAAGCACCCACGGTTTTATCACAATAATATTAGTACTTTTCGTTCATAATTCTTTTAAGTTTATTTTAAAAATTATTTTTAACTTTTTAGTTCGATGTGCTTTAAAAGCGTGTTTTTTTAAACTATATTTATTTTTCACTTTTTAGTTTCATGTTGTGATAGTAGTTACTATCAATATCTTGGTTGTTACGGGTAACGGGAAATCAGAGTTCGATTCCGGAGAGGGAGTTTGAGAAACGGCTACCATATCCAAGGAAAGTAGGGGGCGCGCAAATTACCCACTCCCGGAACATGGAGGTAGTGACGAAAAATGACGATACGGGAATCATCCCCCATAAACGGAATGAATACACTTTATATCTCCTAATTAGAATAAAGCGTGTTAATATATAAATTTTAATAGTAATTAGAATATATATATATACATGTAAAGCGACTTAAGTACGTAAACGTATCATGCACGAGGTATAGCCTTGTTTTGTGGGCGGGGGGAACGTTATACCTAAGGTACAAACGGTGGCAGCGGCGGTAGGAATATATAAATATATATACGTAAGGCGCATTATATTCGGGTGGTATTGGTCAGTCAAAATAAAAATTTGTTTATATATATATATATATATATATATATAATATTGATGATAAGCACGCGTGTACGGGTACGATAACCAAAAATAAATTTATACAGGAATAGTATTGCCGTCGTGTGGTGAGCGAGGAGTGGGGTGGGGTGAATGCGTTATGAAAGTCTAGTCTTAAGGTCATAGACGACGGGATTCGCGAGAATAATAACACGTGCCGCGTGGAAAGTTACAAACACACATCACACATACAAGTGAAACTAATATAAGCGTGTTGAAATAGAACGATTTATAAGTATTACTCTTAATAGTTCAATAATTGTTTAAAAATATAGAAACAAAACATTTTTTAATTATTTTTTAGTATACACAAGTACTTCAGTTTACACATACCAGAGTTGAATACCCATTGCACTGATTGATCATCCTTTGGGAAATGGAATCTGAGATTTGGATTTTCTCTTTTGATTTTATCACAATTAAAATAAATACACTTATTTCCTTGTAATGTACTCATTGTTATAATTATAATTATATAAATAATACAAATAAATATGTTAAATAGTAAAACCACGCAAAAGAGGGCCTACTCTTCAGTGTTCTAGTGAAAATATGAATAGTAATTATAAAATAGGGAAGATTTTTTATTTAGTTGGATATTTTTACATTGATAGGTTTTAAAAACAACACAAAAATACAACATAGGCATGATAACTTTTGTCACAATAAGATATAAACATCGCTAATACATTGTGTTTTTAACGCAATTCCAAATATATAATCCAGGCGACGAGATATTGTAATATTAAATCGTACTCTTTTACGTGGTCTATAGTGCAATTGTTTTACGATCTCACAAAAAGTGCTAAATTTTATTTTTAATCGTGTTAAGTCTGTAGGGTCACATGAATTCATGGAATTATTAAAAAAATAAAATAAACACATCATGGTAAAATTAATACCTTCCCATATTCGAATTGAAGCTAAAATTTTTCCTCTGAATTGTAAAATGTATATACACATCTCAAATTAATGGGCAAGAGGAATTATGCAGTATTAAAAAAATATTCGATTTTGAATTTTATTCAATAAAATAATGTTTTATGTATATGAGTATACATTTTAAACAGATTAATTTTTTTTTATGTGACATAATAAATGCTTATTGATCATACATTAATCCATAATGAAATTAATAACTTCTTATAACAACTTTAATAACAATTTAAATCCACCATTGACATATCTTTAAGTATAATTTCATTATATATATTATATATTTAATATTTTGGTAATTTTATATATGATATTTCAATTTAAAAATTATTGAGTATAATTAATATGAAAAAATTATTAAAAATTAAAATATTGGCGATTAAACTTAAATATTTGGTCATTATTTATACTTAGGTAAATTTAATAGGATACTATTCTAAAATAAATGAAATAATTGAAGCGAACATAATGAAAAGAAAGCCATTTATGCATATCTAATAATCCATATTAATATATTTTATTATTATGGACTATTAGATGTGATCATTATATATCTTAATATAGTAATACAAATACAAAATAAACATAATATAAAAGCTCTGTGGTATTGACGCATAGCTCCCATAATGATTTTTATCATAAACATTTTTTAACTCCTTCAAATCTATCTGCCACTGCCTTCTGTTTAAAATAATTTATAGTTAAGTCTTGTATTGTAATACCACATTTTATATCTAAGTATTATTAAGAATTCTTAGTATAGTATTAAAGTAAAAAATAAAACAAAATTTCAATGAAAAAATAATTACAAAGAGTTAAAATCATAAAAAATCTTAGATTATATCATAAAATGCAATTAATGTGTATAACAACCACTGTCTAATAAGGTACATAATACATTCATTTAATACTTATTTTAAAATTTAAAATACCACGTATATTTTAACTAATAGAAGCACTCGAAATTTACGCTATCTATCAACATAATCGCCTGCGTCCATTCATGATAAAGATTGAACTGCCAAAATTGTGTACGGCGTAGTCTATGTGTATTTAATATATGACATTGTCATAATGACAAAATTTTAAAAACAGAGTGGAGAAATTGGGAAAAACAGTGTTAAATGGTAGATAGCCCCGTTAATTCAAAATTTCCACTTCTACGAGATAAGTAGTACAACACCGTATTACCTTATAAAGATTCGTGTCCAGTCTTATCTGAGTTCGTAATCTTCAATTCTAGGTGCTAAGTACCATCCATATCCTTTTATGTGATTACACCTCTAATACTGTCAAATTGCACAGTGACCATTTAAAATGTATTTTAATATTTAATAATTATTTATAATTTTATAATTTATAACAAATGTTATAAATATAATTATGTTTACAAAATATTCATTAACTAATAAAAGTTAAATCAAACTTTGATAAAATTTTTGAAATTAATCTTATTCTAAAGAAATAGTCCAGTGTCTTACTTGATAAAACGAATTATTAAGAATTTGTATGCTTCATAATGTTTAGGTAAAAATAATTTATTAACAATCCAATTATTGGTTAATGATCCAAGCTTGAAAGAATAGAACTCTAACTATATGGCCTTAAAAGATATTTTCTGGGGCTCTAGATATAATTAATAAGGTTCATATTTATAATTTATTCTTATGATCAAGTTTTTCTTAAGCATGTTATTTAGATAACATAAATACAGATTATAAGTATGAACTATAAACATTACCTTATGTTTATTATTTATATCCGTGCCTCAAATAAAGATTATTAAACATAACAGCAAGGAGGTCAATATTTGTCATTTTATTACGATTTTTATTTAAGATATAGTAAAACATTTTAAAGTGTTCACCTGAAAGAGAAAATAACTTATTTCGAAAAATTAATTAATTATAAAATATAATACATATTGTTACCAGTATATGATATTGATACATTTTTGAGAAAGAAATATTTATCTAGTTTTTAAATTTTGATATGATAGTTTTTAAATTTCAATCAAATTTTACACAATATAAACAATTTTACTATTACTCTTATAAATTACACTGATATGGGTTAAATAAGCAATATAAAAAGTATTTTTGCTTACATAACTACTGAATACTTCAGTAAGTCTTACAGTAATAGCTTACATTTAGATCTTAAATATTATTTATTAAAATATTCAAGAAATATGCTATATGTCAAAAAAATGCTTCATTCGAGACAAGTTAGTCGGATCTTTTCCAATAAATATACGCAATTTTTTGTACCATCTAAAATGATAACTAAGTTTTTTCAAGACAAAATTAAAATAAATGGACCAATAACAGTAGCTGACTATATGCGTGAATCTTTAAAGACGTATTACAATGATGGAAATGCATTTGGATTCAGTGGAGATTTCATAACATCACCTGAGATAAGTCAATTATATGGAGAAGTAAGTGATTTATTTATTAATATCTATCAATTAAAAAATATGTGTATGTAAATTTTGATATCTAGTTCTGCAAAATATCTTTTATATGGGGACCTCTACATAAAAAAACTTTTATATTATAATTTACTAAAAATTTATCTTTGATATATAGTTTATTTATCATAAGGGTTTGTAGCTTAACCACATTGACCTTAGTAATATATATTTTTATTTTTGTTGTTTTTTTAATAGATTAGAATAAAATGTATCAAATTTATGTTTTTAGATGGTTATGTTGTGGTTTATTAATATGTGGGAAATGGCTGGAAGACCAACACCAGTTAACTTGATTGAACTTGGACCAGGAACAGGTGTCATGATGACTGATATGTTGAGGGTGTGGAAAAAAAATATTATTTGTAATTATTTTTTGGCAAAATAATTGTGAACCAACTTAGATATAGATGTTGAATTTTTCAAATGACTCTCGATTGTAATTTTTCATATTAAGTCTTTGGAATAAAAAGAATTATTAAAAAAATACTTTATACCTTTTTTTACAAGATAGGACTTCTGAAAGAATTTATTGCCAATTACTATCGTAGTTAAGAGTTGATTACAATAGTAATATATTTAGTATACAATTTCATACTCAAATGTATAGCAAATAAATCTTGCCATTATTACAATAATTCATATTTACATTTTTCATAACAAAATGATTTTATAAAAGAATGTTTTACAGCTATTAAATCAAACTCATTACAAGAATTTGATAGACTTAACTATTCATATGGTCGAAATAAGCAACAAATACAGCTTAAAACAAGCGAAAAAGCTAAGTTGTTCACACTTAGAAACAAATATGAGTCATAAATATTTTCAGTATGGCAAAACATCAAATGTGTATGGGTCAAAAGACATTTTTTGGTATTATAATTTAGATGATGTACCAAAAAATACATTTAGTTTCATAGTCGCTCAAGAATTTTTTGATGCTTTACCAGTTCATAAATTTAGAGTGAATACAATAATAAAAAAAAATTAACACTTTTCTTAAATTTTTACATGTCTACTTTTTTTTTTTCTAGAAATGCAAAAATAAATGGCGGGAAATATTAATTGACATTAAAAATATTTCAAGTGGGACATTTCAATATGTTTTATGTCAAACTCCTACAGCAGCATCAAACTTATTAACTACTGTAATAACCATTTTACCGCATAATTAGATTTATATTTCTGGTCTGGTATACAAAATTGATTTTCATTTTATAAAAAAATATGTAAATAGAATATGAAATCAAAAAAATATTTTAGATCTAGAAGGGTTTTTTTTACTATATTTGATTGTGTGATGGGTTTTTTTTTTTTAACTCAAAGTTTGTTATTTAAAACAAAAAAATCAATAATTTTTATAATTAATTTATTATTATTAATGTATCTATTTGGGGTAGAGATTATGACTGAAAAGTTATACCACTATTCATGAATCTACCACTGTATTTTTTTTCAAACATAATTATCTGACTAAAATGTTAAGTAATTGAAATATTCTTTAACAAAAAGTGAAAAAATTATCTAATATTATTGTGTAATAATTTTTAAGTGACATTAATTTCCACTAATTATGTGTTTTTAAAAAAGTCCAATAAATTTACTAAGAGTATACATTATTTTTAAAGTTTTATTACATGTTTGTTATTCAGTTATTTAATAAATAATTCAATGTTTTAGATAGACTTCTATAATCAGTCAAAATTCTCTGAGGGATCTGATATTGAAGTAGGATTTGAAAGTTCTATTATATTAGATAAGTTGTGTAAACGTTTAGTCACAGATGGTGGAATATTTTTATGTATTGATTATGGAAAAAGTGAACCAATTGTTGATTCTCTCAGAGTATTAAATGTTTTGAATAATGTGAGTTATTTTATTTATTTATATTTATAAATTATATTTTTAGGCTTTTAGTGGTCATCAACAAGTCAATCCACTACAGAACCCAGGAATAGTAGATTTAACAGTTGACATTGATTTTGAAAGATTTAAAAATATAGCTGGAGAAGATATTCTTACCTTTGGGCCAATTATTCAAAATAATTTTTTACAAAATTTACATATTGAATTAAGATATAAAGTAATTAACTTTAATAACAATTTTAAAATCTCAATATTCTCATACTTTAAAAAATGAGTATCTTTTTTATCTCAAATTTTCAGGAGTCAATATTATCTTCAAATACCAGAGAATATTTTAACTAATAAATTAGGGGACAAGTTTTCCTTAATTTTATATTAATTATATATTCTATATTTAACATAATTATTAATTATAATGATATATATATTATTTTTAAATATCCATTTTTAAATTAAAATGTAATTAACTAAAAATTTTGCCTATTTCAAATTGCTCAGTTTTTCCATCTAATGGTATCATTTTTTTACTATAATTTACCTGAAGAAAATGAATAAAATAAAATGTATAATTTTTTTATATGTAATATATTTTACAGAAGCTCTTGTCTACAGCCAAAAGCGAAAGAGAAACTTCCTCACTTATATTTGGTTACAACCAACTTATGAAAATGGGAAACTTGTTCAATGTTATAGGAATGGTTCCATCAACTCTTGGTCCATATTTAAATCATTCAATTTATGGTTTTCAATAAAAGATATTAATAAATTAATAGTAATAAAAAAATAAATTATTTGATATTCATGCAAAAAAAATTATTCAGTAAATTTCCTGCATTTAGAAGTCTTTTATGTTAAAACAATAATAGTATGAAATTTACAAATGTGAAATAAAAAACAAATTTAGTACTATTAGTTCAGCCAAATTATCTTCTTAAACTTTTATAATTTCATTAGTTTTGAGGGCTTAAACTTTATAAAGATTTTGTTTTACATTTATGATTTGTGAATATATAATTATTTTCATTATGTTATAATAATTGATTACTAAACATATAACTATAGACATTTTTGAGTACTTTACTTAAAATATACTATCATTGGTTTAATCAAAATTAGAAACCCAAAAAGTATAATCATAGTACTTAATCATATACTGTTGTTAAGTGAACTAAATTGTTTACCTGTAGGGTTCATTCTATTAGTAGGGAGTTTCATCTCATTAATATTTGTATATATACTAAAAATCAAAACTGGGCACTAACGTATTAAAAAGCTAAGTTACTTTACCTTTTAATTTGTTAAGATAGTTTTTTTTACACTAACTTTACGTGGGACTTTTGTTGTGAAACTTGGTTTATTTTTAAATTAATTAAATTGATGCTCAGTTATAGTGTTTGATAAACTATTTAGTGTTGTACTAAAATGAAATATAGTCTATTCAATAAATTGAAAATAATATATGTATTTATATCCCGTGGAGGTATAAAACTTTAAATAACTATTCGTCTTTAATAGCAATTACAGAATTATGTGGTATATAAGTGTTTTTTATAATAATAATATGTATATAGGTGCAATTTCAATAAAAAAGGTTACCATTAAAACTAAGTTACTTATAACTTGACTGTATTTTTCTAAATCTAACTTAGCTTCACAAGTGAGATAAAAGTATTGACATGCCTTGCTAAAAATTATCGTACGTGAAACTAGAATTGGGGGTGCCAAATTAATTTTTCCCATCCCAACATTTTTATCTAATAAAATTTTTTCTATATTTTAGAGGGCTATTTCTTAAATAATTTATGCATATTTTAAGCCTTAAATAAAGTTGTTTTATTCATTAGTTACTTAAAAAAAAAACTTTCTACAAATAATTCTATCTATAGATGACCCACTTATCTAATTTTAACTAATTGAATAATAATCCAATTTCCTTCAACTTACAATGTACATCAACTTTTTTATTTAGAATTTTAAATTATTTTTTTCTTTAGTCTTTATTAAATATTAAAGCATACCACACTGCAAATAGACGTATACAATTTAGATAGTACTTATGAAATTAATTGTCTATATAATTCACAACCCCCCCTTTTTTTTGTTATTATCATATAAACTAAATTACAAGCATTAAATTTTTAATATTAAAATTTACCAGTTGCAGGGTTTATTATTTATCAATATCAAAGTAGTCTTTAAGGTATCTTTGAAAAAAACATACCTTTTTCTTATGAGAAAACCACAAATAAAAAATGAAATAATATTAAATTAGTGATTTGATTTCAATAAAAAAATTGTATAATTCATTAATAAAAAAAAAATCAGTATAATACGAAAATAGTATTTGGTAAAAAATAAAAAAATGTATTTCATATATAATTGTAAATTGAAAACTTTAACAAATTAATTACAATAGTCTGCATTTAAAACTATAATTCTTTATTATTACTATTTTTTTATTACATAACTTGAGATATTTATTTTACATTTAAAATTACCAATTTTTCTTATGTTCATCCATTGATACACCACCTGGACCTCTAAGTACAATCATTAATAAACCACCAATCACTGAGAGAGTCTAAATGTTAACATAACCATTTAATTATAACATTTTTAGTTGTTTTGATTTTATATTATAAATTTATATGTTACTTGGAAAAAATCATATTTTAGAAAATCACGAAGGGGTTTTGTATCTGGTATTGTCCACCAAGCATTATAATAGAAATTCAAACTTGTTAAGAATAAAACCAATACTAATGCGCTAAGTTTAGTTTTATATCCAATAAAAACTAATACCATCATTATTGTTCCCAATATATCTTGAATAAGCTAAAAATAAATAAATAAATATATAT